CAGGGCCAACTTAGAGCTTGGGACCCTAGCGCGCTAGTAATAAATAACTCTCTGCTGTGAAACTCGTGTCGGTGATCCTTCGCGGCGACCCCTGCCCAGGAAGGAATCGACAGTTCGGTTCCTACACTTCCTGTGTTTTTGCTCCCATATAAACCTACGTAAATTTCCATGCGGAGAGCCCCTCCAGGGAGTCCTATTCCCTCCATACAACCCTAAGGCTTTGGCCTTTATCTGACCTTCCTTTTGTGCCCTCTGGCTCTATTGTGATTCTTCCTTGTAGCCACTGAACAAAATTTTCCTAATATGCTTTTCCTCCATTTTTCCCTCTTCTTCTGAGGTTTTCCTGACGTCTGAAAGGAAAATTTAGAGAGAAATAAACATGCGTGTGACATAAAATATATAGGGAATAAAGGAATGTTGTATTCAATGTCAGTTTATTGACTACTTCCTATGTGTGGTATTTACTGCCCCTTTCAAATTCCTCTAAGATCTGTGGGCGCCATTTTCATCACCACCATCTTGCAAAAATCTCTTGGACCATCCATCCACCATGCGGTTGGTGGAGCCACACAATGAAGTGAAAAGCCCTTCTCTCCACCTCACCCACACCCCACCCCTGGTTATTCCTGTAACTATAGCCCAGAAAGTCCTTTCCCATGCCTCTTCCACTATCTTTCCATACCAGGTGATTCATAAGGTTCATCTCCAAACTACAGAGAAGCACATCCCAGGGGAAGTGAATGTTCTTTCGCTCCACATCGCCTCCTCCACAAGATCTTCCCAAGCAACACCAGAAAGGAGTTAAATTATTGTCAACAGGACCTGAGCTATGTTCTAGTAACGATAGCTTGGTAGAAAGAAAGAGTTGGCCGTTACGTAAGAGTGGAATTGGAGAGGTGGGAAAATGGAGGGACAGACAGTTTGCAGGCAAATGAGAGCGGGGCTGTACGTACTGACCAGTGAAATCGGCGTTTCATCTGCAACTAAGAGGAAGCCAAAACATGGATCCCACAGAGAATTTTAACCTGTCTGTTTTGAATTTTCTGCAGCTCTGGAGAATGAGAAGTTTCCTGGATGTTGCCCTAAACAATATCCCCATCTTCCTCTGTGCTTGTCCTATCTTACCTTGAAGCAGAAGGCTGACAGTGAGGCAGAAGAGAACACCCCCAGGCCAGCAGGCCACCTCCCTCCATCCTCCTCTCCTGCGCTCTTCTCTGGAGACTCATCAGGATCCCCTAGATCCTTGAGCTTGAAGGAGCTGGGACCACTCTGGTTGCTGGTTTTGAATCCTCCTCGTGTCACGTGACCACTCTCTGTGAGTGGCTGTGGCCAGAGGGATCCCAGCAGAGTGTTCTGCCATGCTTCTGCCCAGGTACGCCTTCTGGGCTCTAGGCAGGCAGGAAGTTGGGCCAAGATGGGGGAAGAAGCACCTATTTGGCACTCCTGTCTAAATGAGTGGTGTTTTGTTTGTTTGTTTGTTTGTTTGTTTTTTGAGACAGTCTTGCTCTGTCGCCCAGGCTGGAGTGCAATGGCGCGATCTTGGCTCACTGCAACCTCTACCTCCCGGGTTCAAGCAATTCTCCTGCCTCGGCCTCCCAAGTAGCTGGGATTATAGGCGTCTGCCACCACTCCCGGCTGATTTTTTGTATTTTTAGTAGAGATAGGGTTTCGTCATATTGGCCAGGCTGGTCTCGAACTCCTGACCTCAAGTGATCCACCTGCTTCGGCCTCCCAAAGTGCTGGGATTACAGCTGTGAGCCACCGTGCCCCGCCAAATGAGTGGCTTTAAATCTGTGTTCCAAGTACCTTTCAGAGAAAATGAGGGAGCTGAGGGATGGGGCAGGTGAGGCCATTGACAAAGGCATTGTCACTTCTTTGTGGAACTAACTGCCTCAGGGAAAGGGCATGGGCCACCAGGAAAGGAATGGTTATGCTGTCTCGTGGTGGGGACACTTGCTAATTTTAGAAGGCAAGAACATGCAAGAATTTTGTTGCAGACCTAGAAATGTATTCTTTACTGTGGACATTAGGAATTATCATCAATGTTGAGTTAAGAAGCTCAGTTCAGAAGGGAAGCTCCATTTCATTACATAAACCCAACTGACAGATCTCTGTCTCCACAGCTAGCACTGAAGCACAGATCTGCATCATTCCTCGTTTGCACTATTGCAATAGCCTCTTCATAAGGTGTTCTCTGTCTGGTTTCTCCCCAGTTGAATCTTTCATTTTTGTCATTCTCCTAAAACAGAACTTTCAGCTTACGCTTTCTTGTCTAGTATCTCTAAAGCCTATAGCCCTGGGGCCACTAGGGAGTATGTGTGGGCAGAGAATCATTTGATGAACTTTTTGAAATACCTGCACACACATGCTTCCACCCCTACTGAGAAGTGTGTGTGTGTGTGTGCATGTGTGTGTGTAAAAAGCTCCCCAACCAGCTCGGGCCTGGCCAACATGGTGAAACTCCATCTCTACTAAAAATACAAAAATTAGCTGGGCATGGTGGCAGGCACCTGTAATGTCAGCTACTTGGGAGGTTTAGGCAGGATAATTGCTTCAACCTGGGAGGCAGAGGTTGCGGTGAGCCAAGATCACACCACTGCACCCCAGCCTGGGCGACAGAGCAAGACTCCATCTCAAAATATATATATATTCAGTAAACCATGCTGTAAACAAGTATGCTATCATCTAGGCTTTGTTGTTCTATTTATAGAGCATAGGCAGAGTAAATTTAGCATCATTCTTAAGGGCTCTAGAATTCTCCAAATGGCAAATAAGCATTGGCTTCAACTTAATCACCAATGGCCTTAGTGTCTAATAAAGTCAGTCTGTCCTTTGAAGCTTTGAAGCCAGGCCTTGCCTACTCCTCTCTAGCAATAAAAGTCCTAGAGGGCATCTTTTTTTTTTTTTTTTTTGAAATGGAGTCTTGCTCTGTCGCCCAGGCTGGCGTGCAATGGCGCCATCTCGGCTCACTGCAACCTCTGCCTCCCGGGTTCAAGCGATTCTCCTGCCTCAGCCTCCCGAACAGCTGGGATTACAGGCCTGTGCCACCATCCCTGGCTGATTTTGTATTTTTAGTAGAGATGGGGTTTCACCATGTTGGCCAGGCTGGTCTCCAACTCCTGACCTCAGGTGATCTGCCCGCCTTGGGCTCCCAAAGTGCTGAGATTACAGTTGTGAGTCACCGTGCCCGGCTGATGGCATCTTCTTCTAAGAGAAGGCTGTTTCATCTATGTTGCAAATCTATTGTTTAGTGTAGCTGCCTTTGTCAATGATCTTAGCTAGATCTCTGGATAACTTGCTGCAGCTTCTTCATCAGCACTTGCCACTTCTTTAACTTGTATGTTACAGAGATAGCTACTTTCTTAGACCTCATGGACTAACCTCTGCTAGCATCAACCTTTTTTTCTGCAGCTTCTTCACCTCTCTTAGCCTTCATAGAATTGAAGAGAGTTGGAGTCTTGCTCTGAATTAGGCTTTGGCTTAAGGGACTGTTATAGCTGGTTTGATCTTTATTCAAACCAGTCTAACTTTCTCCATATTAACAAAAAGGCTGTCTCCCTTTCTTAGCATTCATCTATTCACTCTGGAGTAACACTTTTAATTTCTTTCAAGAATGAACCCATGAAATGTTTGCTTCTCATCCCTACAACTTCGGGCTCTGCTGTTTCAGAAGTCTTAGAGGACGGCTTCCACCAGGTGATACAACAATGGTTCCGTTAAATTGGAAGTTGAGACTACCACTTGACCAATTTGGACTCTGCATGCCATTGAATCAACAGGCAACAAAAGGGGTGGTTGATCCTGACTATTGTGGGGAAACTGGGTTACTACAATATAATGGTGGAAGAAGGAGAATAATGAGAATACAGATGCTGTGAGGTGCCTCTTAGCACTCTCAGGTCTTGTGACTAAAGTCAATGGAAAACTACAGCAACCTAAAACAGACAGGACTACTAAATGCTCAGTCCCTGGAGGGGTGAAGATTTGGGCCACTCTATCAGGTAAGAAACCATGACCAGCTATGGAGCTTGTTGAAAACAAAAGGAATGTGGACTAGGCAGTGGAAGAAGGTCATTGTAAGTACCAGATATGACCATATAACCAGTTATAGTCATGAAAACTGTGATAGTTATACCTATTTCTTCCACATTTGGTATGAATATATTTGTGTATATGTTAGCCAGTTTTTTTTTTCTTCTCTTCTCCCATGTCCTTCCATAGAACATAATATATGTTAATAGTAGTTAACTGGCTGGGTGCAGTGGCTCACGCCTGTAATCTCACACTTTGGGAGGCTGAAGTGGGTGGATCACTTGAGGTCAGGACTTCGAGACCAGCCTGGCCAACATGGTGAAACCCTGTCTCTATTAAAAATACAAAAAGGGCGTGGTGGTGTGGGCCTGTAATCCCAGCTACTTGGGAGGCTGAGATAGGAGAATCGTTTAAACCCAGGAGGCAGAGGTTGCAGTGAGCTGAGATCATACCACTGCACTCCAGCCTGGATGATAGAGCAAGACTCCATCTCAAACAAAACAAAACAAAACAAAACAAAACAAAACAAAACAAAACAAAAACCCAGAAGGCTGAGGCAGGAGGATTGCTTGAGGCCAGGAGTTTGAGACCAGCTTGGGAAGCATAGTAAGACCTCCATCTCTACAAAAAAAAGAAAAAAAAATTAGCTGGGTGTGGTGGCGTGTGACTATAGTCCTAGCTACTCAGGAGGCTGAGGCAGGAGGATTGCTTGAGCCCCGGAGTTTGAGGCTACAGTGAATTATGATCATGCCACTGCACTCCAGCCCGAGTGACAGAGTGAGACCCCATCTGTATTTTTAAAAAATAATAAAATAAAGAAAAAAGAAAGCTCTATTGTTAAGGGATCTTTTTCTTGGAAAATCTCCTACTGAAATCTCCCTCATTATTTGTAAAACCTTTATTTGGTCTTCTTTTTCTTTTTGAGACAGACTTTCACTCTTACCCAGGCTGGAGTACAATGGTGCCATCTCGGCTTACTGCAAACTGCCTCCTGGGTTCAAGTAATTCTCCTGCCTCAGGCTCCTGAGTAACTGGAATTACAGGCATGCACCACCATGCCTGGCTAATTTCTGTATTTTTTAGTAGAGACGGGGTTTCTTCATGTTGGTCAGGCTGGTCTCGAACTCCCGACCTTGGGTGATCCACTCTCCTCGGACTCTCAAAGTGGTGGGATTACAGGCGTGAGTCACCGTGCCCAGCTGGTCTTCATTCTTAAAAGATCATTTTGCTACGTATAGAATTCTAGATGGAATTGTTTCTTCCTAGCATTTAGAAAATATCTTACTGTCTTCTGGCTTCCTTTTTTTTTTTTTTTTTGGAAGTTGGCTGTCAGTTCAGTTGCTGTTTTTTAAGGTGAATTTTTTCTCTTTAGCTTTTTTTTTTCAAGTAAGTTTCTTTCTATTGTACTAAAATAGAAATACAGTATTTTGTGTAACATAATATTTACCATTTTATCCATTGAAGTGTACAGTTCAAGGGCATTAAATACATTCACATTATTGTGTGATCATCACCATTATCCATCTCCAGAACTTTTTCTTTATCCCGAACTGAAACTCTGTACCCATTAAACAATAACTCCCATTCCCCCTCGCTCAGCCGATGGCAACCACTCTTCTACTTTCTGTCTTTATGAAATTGATTATTCAATACTTTGACTATTACGTATATATTTATGATTTTATATATAATATTGTATTTATAATTTTATGAATATTTATGTAAAATATATATTTGACTATACTTTGACTATTCTTTTTTAAAATTAAAAAATGTTTTATTGCTAAAAGATGTCTATCCTTATCCAACGCCATATTATCTCAACCGTTGTATCTTTATAGTAAGATAAAGTCAAACAGTGTAATTCCTCCACCTTTGTTCTTCTTTTAAGCATCTTATGACTATTATTTCACAAGCTGATTCTAAAGTATATATGGAAATGAAAATGCATAAAAATAAATAATTTACTTTTTAATGCTTTTTGTTTTTGGTTAATAACATACCAATTTATTTTCAAACTTTATTAACATTATTGTATTTTTTTCTCAGGAAATATAAAGGTATGCTTATTCTGAAGTGCGATTTTTAAAACTCTTCAAAATTAAAAGAAAAATGTAATTGTGGCATATACACATGATATGGTTTGGCTGTGTCCCCACCCAAGTCTCAACTTGAATTCTGTCTCCCAGAATTCCCATGCATTGTGGGAGGGACCCAGGGGGAGATAACTGAATCATGGGGGCCAGTCTTTCCCATGCTATTCTCGTGATAGTGAACATGTTCCACGAGATCTGATGGGTTTATCAGGGGTTTCTGCTTTTGCTTCTTCCTCATTCTCTTGCCACCACCATGTAAGAAGTGCCTTTCACCCTCCACCATGATTCTGAGGCCTCCCCAGCCATGTGGAACTGTAAGTCCAATTAAACCTCTTTTCATTCCCAGGTTCGGGTATGTTTTTATCACAAGTGTGAAAACTAACTAATACAATACATAGCATAAAATTTACCATCTTTACCATTTTTAAGTGTGCAACTAAGTAGTGTTAAGTACATTCACATTGTTGCACAGCCAATCTTCAAAACTCTTTTCATCTTTCAGAACTAAAACTCTATATGCCCTCTCCTCCTTTCCCTCAGCTTCTAGCAACCACCATTCTACTTTTTGTCTCTGTGAATTTGACTATTGTAGGTACCTCATATAAATGTGCTCATACATTATTTGTCTGTTTGTGACTTTATTTCATTCAGCAAAATGTCCTCAAGTTTCATCCATGGTATAGCATGGGCCAGAACTTCCTTCCTTTGAAAGACTGAATAATATTGCGTTGAATGCA